CTCCATTCTTCCTGCAAGGTGGCCTGTCTTGTCAGCACTGTGTAGAGTATCTTTCCTGGAAACAAGCTCCCACTGTGGCTGGCCCCAGGCTTTCCTTCTCCCAGAATGGATGCCTGGGAAAATTCCAGTTCTTGAGTTCCATTGTTTCAGTATATCCAAAAGAGAGGACCTAAGTATGTCCCCCTGTAATGTCTTTACTCCTGTCAGGACATTACACCCTCTCTCAGAGAAATATGGACATCAGTCCCGGCTGAGCCCAAAGCTGGAGGCTGAGCTGGCCAGGCAAAGAGCCTAGTAGTGACAGGGCAGAGGTGTAAGGAGGAGCCAGGGTCTAAGACCATGATCCCAGCCCTGCAACCTGTACTCAACAATCTAGCCTGCTTACCACTAGGGTTCTGCAGAGCAGTAGGGAAGATATTATGTGGGCCCCGTCCAGTGAAGGGGATCTGGCGCCCCAAGGAATTCTGCTCCGAGGGTGGTATCTGATTAGGGTCTATGTGAAGCTGGCATTTCTCTGGTATCCAACCCAGGCTCCAGGGGGAGGGGTCAGGAGTGGAAGTAGGTCAGCCCCACTGAGGCCCATGGGATGAGGCTGAGGCTGACCCCTTCTTCTCTGGGCAAATGTGTGGTTTCCGTCTGGGAGGGTATGGCTTCCCTCCCATTTCCATTTAAATGAATATGTCTATCTCTTTGCTCAGGCTGTTGCCAGGGCCTGACAAGGCCCTCTATCTGAGTAACGCTACCTGCCCTGGCTTCACTGAGCAGAGGGTGGACCTGTGTGTCCATGCCTACGCACAGACTGGCCCATTTGCTGGCCTGTGATATCTGGAAAAAACATAGCAAGGCAGGGTGACCAAGCCTCAGGATGGAGGGCAGGTGTATTCATCCCCTAACCCTCCCTGGACACCCCATTCTCATTAGAATGCTGTGAGGAATGACTCCCAGAAGCTTCCAGGATGGCCTCAGGAATCTTTGGGCACACATGCCTTTCTATTTAAAGGGACATATGCTACTAAAGGTCTTGGTACTGGCGAAAACAAACCTTCCTCCCAGATCACTATCCCTGGTAGTGAATGTAGGAAGTGCCTGCAGTTCCTTTCTCTTCATATGACCTTCATCCTGCTGAGGGCCCATCTGTCCCCTCGCTCATCACAGTCCATATTACAAGAGGCTGAGGAGACCACTCTGTGCTTAGTATCCTAGACCTCTGTCTATGCTCCCGTGTGCTCCTGACTTTCCTTGTTCTAAACTATGTTAGAGGGGCGTAAGCTACAGGCTACATTCTCCAGGGTACCTTGCAACTGGCTTCCTGTTAGGTTTGAGCCCTGGATGGACTGGTGGGAAGGTGGGGTAGACTCAGGGGAGGAGCCAGGGTGTTCCTCCTGTCCCCCCACATCATAGCAGTAGCCTTAGTGCCTGGGCTCTGGTAACCCTTTACCTTGTCCTATTCACCAGTAGTTTCTGGGAAAGCTCCCTTCTGGACACCACGCCATCCTCTTTTGGCTGTTCAAGCCTTCTAGCACCACTGTGTCTCCTTGCTTGTACGGACCATCCTTTGTTGAGCTCTCTGGTTGGGTTCTGTATTTTCATCTGTATCCTAAAGCCTTTAATCCCACCCCCCAAAAGATCCTTTCATTCTCTACCTTTGTCTATAGAGGGGGTGAGCAAGCAGGGGAAATTTCTTCAAGCCCTAAACCAGAAGTAACTCTGGTAGTGAGGACCTTGATCAAATCTCCCAAATCTCACTGGTGTGTGGCCTTTGCCTGTTTTTTCCCCATGGATCTAGGAGTTAGTTGGGTGACTGTAAACCACTGGTCTGAGGATTGGCTTCAGGTCTGTCCCATGTATCCTCAACCAAGGACTCAGGCTGATGGACAGCAACTATTGAGAGTGAAATCTTTTCATGGTAATCCAGCAGGAATGTGAGTGACAAGCCAATTCAGCAAGGCCACTTAAAGCCCCGGCCACATCAGTCACGATTTTCCCCTGATCTGAGTGAGTCTGGCAGACAAGCCTCTTGTCAATGGGGAGGGGTGTGTCCTGCCTGCTCTAGGAAGGCTGCTCACAGGACAGAGTAGAGTTCTGTTACGGGGAGAGTAAAGAACTAGGGCCATAGTCCAGCCGAAATTCATGGTTCTACTATGTCCACAGGGGTGCAGATTGGGGGCCTGAGACCATGTGCTTGTGTCTTAAGCTCCCCATGCATTCATTTTCTCAACAGGAAAATGGGGTAACAAAATGTTTGCTCCAAGAACTGTTTGAGTATAACAGGCTTTGTAAAGTTGATGCTTAAACTATTCCTGGCAGATATTGAGAGATCAGTACAATTAAGCTGTTATTCCTTTTTACTGCCATCACCACTAACCACCAAAACTACAATCACCACCACCATTACCACCACCACCATAACCATCACCACTGCTACCATCATCATCATCACTACCATAACCACCACCACTATCACCACTACCATCATCATCACCATCACCATTACCATCATTACCATTATCACCACCATCACTATTACAATGACTCAACCACCACTTCCATCACCATCACTACCATCACCACTATCATCATCATCATTACCACCACCACCACCATTACTACCATCATAACCACCACAACCACCACCATCACCAAACCACCACCACTACCATCAACACAATCATTGTCAATGCAGCTACCACCACCATGATCACCACAAGCCCCACTATCACCACAATCACAGCTACCATCACCACCACCATCAAAAAATCACCAACACCATCACCAACAGTATAATTATCAGCACCAAAACCACTATCACCATCATGATAACCACTACCAACAAAACCATAGCCACCACTACCACCAGTACCCACCACCACCACCCAAACCACAACTACCCCTACTATCACCACCACTTCTATTACCACCACCATAATCATCACCATCATCACCACCCTCACCAACATCATAATCACTACCACCAAAAAAAAACCCACCACCACCAAAACCACCACTACCATCATTACCATGACCACCAGTATCACCATAATCAACACCACCACCACCACAACCACTACCACAATCATAAGTGGCTAGGATAGAGCTGGTACTCATCCATTCAACAGGCATTCGCTGAGCCCCTCATTCACAAGGCATAAGTCTAGCAATAGAACAGAATGGGCGAGGCTTACGATCCAGTCCAGTCCCGGAAAGAGACAGTGAACAAAATAGAAAGAAAATTAGAGGGGATATATACTATGACCAGAACAGCAAGCCACAGGACGGTGAGGAGATAAGAGGACAGAAGCCATGGGCCTCTTTAGCTTTACTTGAGTGAGATAAGCCTCCATGGGAGGATTTTGAACAGGGGATGACATTATCCAACTTGTATTTTCACAGGTTCATTCTGGCTCCTGTTAAAAAGACTTGGAGAGGGGGTATAGCAGCAGGAAAAGCTGAGAGCTCAGGTTTCAACATCTAGACCAGAAGTGATAGGGCCAGGCCTAGGGAGGTGGCAGGGAGGAGACCTCATTCCTGATGCATTTTGAAGGAAGTGCCATCAGCACTGGCAGTTCTGGTGAAGGATGAAAGAAAGGGAGATGTCAAGGGTGCCACGAGGGCGCCAGCCTAAGCCACCTTAGCTTCAGGAAGCTGAAGTTGCTGCTGACTGAGCCGGGCACAGCTATGGGTTGAGCAGGTGAAGGACGTGAGACAAAGAGTTTACTTTGGGCATGTTAAGTTTGATGTGTGTGTTAGACACCCAAGTAGTGATGTCAAGTAAGAAACAGTGGATATACAGCTAGATGCAGGAGAAATGTCTAGGCTAGAGATGCAAATCTGGAAAGCCTCACTGTCCAGGGTCATTGAGAAACCAGAGCACAGACAGGCTGGCAGTGAGGAGGAGGAGGAAGCTGGGTGGAGAGATCTGGAGGCTGAGAAGAGGCTGTTTCTGCAGACTGGACGGGCTGAGTCACATGGTGCCTGCTGATTCTGGACAGGATGAGAACTAAGGGGCTGTGAAGATGGCTCGGCAGTTAAAGCACTTGCTTTAAAATCATGAGGACCTGAGTTTGGATCCCCAGAAACCCATGTAAATGCCGGGTGAGCGTGGCAGCCTGCCTGTAATACAGGGGATCCCAAAAGCAAACTGCCCAGCAAAACAAGCCTTGTTTGGGAGCTCTGGGTTTGATTGAGAGAGCCTGCCTCAAAGAATAGGGTGGAAGAGCAATCAAGAATGAATCCAGACATCAACCTGGAGCCTCCACATGTGTGCGCACCCACATGCATGCACACACATGTACACGTGTGCCCATACACAGGCAGAAACATGATATACACAGACACACCCCACATGAAAATGGAAAACTTTTTAAAATATGAGAATTGAGATGTCACCCTGGATTTAGCTGTGGCTCATGCATCCGTCCGTTCAACAGGCATGTGCTGTGCTCCTAGTTTACAAGGCATGATTCTAATAGCAAACAGAACAGACAAGCCACTGTTTAGATTTTAGTCCTGGAGACCACGAAAAAAATAAAATTATACAACTTATTAGAAGGTGAGATACACTATGAGTAAAAATAAAGGGAAACAGCATGCTGAGCATGTGGGCCACAGTCAACAGAATGACCAGAGCAGGGTACACTGATGTGTCACTGAGGAGGTGACATTTGACCAACGGTAGTTTGGACAGTGTCAGTCCAGAGGCTGGTGAGCTTTTGATGGGCCCTCCAAACATCTCAGTGCCTCCATCCACGTTAAATGGGATGGCATGTGTATTCATGCCCTATATATATCAGGAATGCCCTAAGTACTGCTGGGCATCTGCTGGGCTGAGGGGTGGTGCAGAGGATGGGAAGGAAAGTATGTCCTTGAGCATCTGGATAGACCTCAGGCTCCCTTTGTCAGCATCCTACCCAGATGCTTGGAGTGGTACCTAGAGGTGGCCTGAAGGGACCATTTGTTCCCCCATCTCTATAGACCCTATTCTCTCAGCAGATGAGCCTACCTCCCCCAAGAAGCCAAAGAGCATCCCTGAGTCCCAGCCCAACGACATGGACCTTGAAGCCAGCTCTCCCCTGTCCTCAGAGTGGACCTCAGTGAGGATCAGCCCTGGGGAGGACACAGTTGGACAGAATGTGCTGGCTGTGCGTGTCCTGGTCACCAGTGAGGACAGCAGGTATGCCCAGGTTGCTCAAGGCTAGAGGTGGCTACTGGGGGGGGTGGGGCGGGAAACAACTGTATCTGGGATCTGCTTTTCTCTCTACTGGGAACTCCATAGGCCTCAGTTTCCTCATCTGTCAAGTAGGGACCATCATAGTGACAGCCTCTGGGAGGTATTTGGAGGGTTCGATGAATTGACACATGTCTAATGTGAAGCACTGCTTGATACATAGCATACCCCTTAATGCTGACTAGTCATTGTTTGCTAAAATAAAGGAAAGGCCCAGGCTCCACTGTCCCCAGGAGGCCACTGTCATTCAGGCCACAGAGAGGGTCCCAGATGAGTGACTCCTGTCACAGGAAGGAGCTCCCGGGGCCCTCCCATAGTAGGATATGATGCATGGTGATGGAGAGGCCAATCTGATCAGAAAGCACATACCCTGCATCTGATCTACACCCAGGATGTTTATGACATATGCAAACTTTGGGCCTCTCCACTCCTCAGATACACTGAGTTCATTCAAAAGAGAAATCAACAGAATTGGCTATTTATTAATTCCTAGACTCTGAGTGTATAACTGTGACCCATGCTATCAGACCCCTTCATCAAACTAGGTAGAGAGCCAGTAAACAAGGAAACGTTTAACAAGAAAAACATCACATATGTGCTAGGCAGAGAATAAAGTTGAGGGATGTTAGGAAGAGGAATGGGACAGTTACCTCAGATTGTGTGGCCAGGAAAGGCTTCTGTGTCAGTTACTGAGTCCCACAATGATGCTGAGTGCCAAACCTGCCTCCCTCCAAGTGAGTGAGTAACCCTCACTCATTACAGCCTGACCATGGGCTAGCAGCTGAGGAGCCTCTGTGGGGCACCACTGGCCATGCTGGGCTCACCCCACTGGGCTCTGCATCTGCATCCTAGCAAGAGAGGGACATTGGATCATGTGTCTTGATCCTCCATCCTGTACTGGTTCAAGAAAAAGGCCTCCCAAAGTCTCAAGAAGCCCAGACTTGGCCCTGCCCAGCACTATTCCCATCGCATCTAATTGGCCACTACAAGTCGCATGGCCAGCTGAGATTCAAAGGGTGGGAAGCAGGCTCCATCCTCTGTGGGAGGAGCTGTAGTTTCCTTGTAAGGGGTGTGAACCCAAAAGGAATGACATGAAGGCAGCCGTTTCTGCAGACAGCATACCATAGCATCCCTAGCTAAGGTTACATTTCAGCTGATTATGGGACTGACTACAAACGATGGCCTAGGGAGAAGGGGAATTCAAGTGACAGCAGCTAGTGACAGGCCCCAGCTCGGGGAGGGAGTGTGATGTGGAAGAGCGAGGCGAATGCCATTTCGGTATAACTGCCAGCAGAAGGAAAGAAGATTGCCCTGAGCAGCTGGCAGTGTAGCTAGGCCTGAGTTCAAGCCCCAGTGCCAAGAAGGGACAATGGAGGGAAGGAGGGAGGAAGGGAGGGAGGGAGGGAGGGAGGGAGGTTGGTAGGTTATAAAGATTGTAAGGAGTTTACATTTTATTCTGGGGATAATTGAATGAGAGTGTCTAAATTCTAGATGACACATTATTAACAATTTTTTGTTATCTTCAGACTTTGGTGTGGAGAATAGAGGTTGCAAGATGGGAGAGAGTAAGGACAGGGAGACCAGGTAGGAGCCTGGGGCTAGGCAGGGGACAGATCAGAGCCATGGTGAAATATTTGCTGATGGACATCAGAACATGAGAAGAGAGTTCAAGGGCAACTCCTGGGTCTTGAGGTTGCTGAGTGGATGGTACAGACATTTCTAGAGGTATCTCTGGGTGAGGAGTCAGGGAAGATGCAGTTTGTGAGGAGACAGAAAGCTTTGTATTGGGCCCATTGAGTTCAACTCTCCTGTGTCTTTGTGCTATACTGGCTGGGTCTGCAGTTGAATCTATATCTTAAGTAAGCCCCATTTTCTCTTGAAATCCTGCAGATTATTTATTTATTTATTTATTTATTTACTTGTTTCTTTTTATTTATTTGGGTATTTTTGAGACAGAGTCTGTCACCCCGTAGCCCTGGCTGACCTGGAACTCACTCATCTCTATCTCTGTCTCCCAAGTGTTCTGATTAAAGGCACATGCCGCCATGCCCAGCTACTATAGTTATTTAAAGCACTCTAAATGCTTCCTCCAGGAAGTCCCTCCTACCCCACCCCACCTCCATCTGCACACTTCTGCTGAGGAAGAAAACCTACATGTCCATTCTATGGTTTCAGAAATTGGGTCCCTAGAGATGAGCTTATTTGACCCCTCAGAGCTTAGGAGCAACACTCTGATTTTTGTTTTTTGTGGATCTGTTTCTTTTTTTTGAGACAGAGTCTCATGTAGCCCAGAGTGGCTTCAAATTCACTATAGAGCCAAGGCTGGTCTTAAACTCCTGATCCTCCTGCCTCTACCTCCAGACTGCTGGGATTACCGGCATGCCCCCACCGCACCCAGTTTATGTGGTGCTAGAGATTGAACCCAGGGCTTCGTGCATGCTAGACAAGCACCTGACTGACATCCCCATCCCTGAAGCCATACTTTAAGACTAAGGAAAGTAAGAAGCACCTTCATTGAAGTGACCCAGCAGGCCTGGGCTAGGACCTTCTTTCTGCTCTGTCCAAGCCTGTAGCAGCTTGCTGGGACCATCAGAACCACAGCCTGGGAGCTTTTCAGAAATGAGTCTTCTTTTTAAAAAAATATTTTTGTGTGTGTGTATGAATGTATTGCCTGTGTGTAAGTGCACCTACTCAAGTCATGCTATGCCCATGGAGGTCAGAAGAAGGAGTTGGATCCCCTGGAACTGGAGTTACAGTTGTTAGCTGCTATGTGGGTGGGAAATTGAACCCTAGTCTTCTGTAAGAAGAGCCAGTGCTCTTAACCGCTGAACCATCTATCCAGCCCCCCTGAAATGAGTCTTCTTACAGTCTGAGGCTAGAATGTGAAATGAAAGGGTAGCAGAGGCTCCTTCTGGGGTCTCTTAGGGAACGGTCTGTCTCAAGCCTCTCTCATGCATGTAGATGGTGTTTCCTGCTCACAATGGCGGTTCTCTCTATGCATGCATGGGTCCCAGTGTCTTCTCATAAGGATACCAGTCATAGGATTTGGACCTACCGTAATCACCTTATATTAACCTAATCATTGCTTTGATGGTCCTATAACTAAACACAGTCACATGCTAAGGTATTGAAGACTACCACTTCAACATGGGAATCTAGGAGATGTAATTCAGGCCATGACAGAGCTAAGGCTGGGGCAGGGCACGGGGTCTCTGAGGACTGTGGGCTGGGACAAAGGGTAGGATATGGTATGGGTGTATCTGGGGTAGGCTCAGAGCTGCTGACTCACCCTCCTCCTCCTTCCAGCTCTGACACAGAGTCTGACTATGGTGGCAGCAAGGCCCCCAGTGCAAAGGCCTATGAAGAGAGACCCTGGCAGCTGGACTCCCCACATCTACAAATACCACTATCCCGGCACCTCTCCCTGAGGGAGCCCCTGATCAGACCAGTCTCTCTAATACACCTGGAGGAGCTACAAGTTATGCCTGGTGAGCAGAGGGTCTTTGGGGCTTCATTTAGGGACACAGAGGGAGTAAGGACCATCACAGCCAGGGTCTAGAACATTTACTGAATGAGGTGAAGGTGAGGTGACATGAAAGTGACTAGATCTGGCCACATTCTCCATGAGAGGCTTTGGAGTTCCAAGTGGGAAAACATCCAAGAGGTCTGGACAACCGTTGGATGTCATGGGCTGAAAGACATAAGGAAACACAGTTCTCTTTTGCCTAGAGCAGCCCCCATTGTGTCTCCTGTATGAATATCATCTCATAGTCTCTGAGAGAAGGGATGTGGACCTGGCTGCTATTGGGCAGTGTGGCCCTAGGTAGCACAGTCCCCTGGGACCACTTGAGCTTCTCCAGGTGGCACAGGAAATTTTTCTGGTGTTTGAGGCCTCTGGGATGCACCCAAAACACGACGAAAGGGGCACTTTCTGTACCTGGACTTTCCCCACACGCATAGGCCCTTTTCACCCCCAAGCCAATCCTGTGAGGTAAGTAGCACACAGTTCATTTTGTGGGGCATTCCATGGTCTCCAGACAGCGAGCCCAGGGTTGGTGGCTCCACTCACTAAGCTTTGGCCTGCTTAGAAGAACTTGTCCTCGGCAGCCCAGCTCATTTGGGTAAAGAGTCTGGAAATCCAGTATTTTGATTCAGTCAACAGCAATGTCTGAACAAATCAGGAAATCCTGTGGTTTCTAGGGACTCTTGGAGAGCCTGGGAATATGCAGGGTGACAGAAACTTGCCCCTTTCAGAGCCAAAAGCCTTGGATGGCCCCTGAGAGGGGCACACAACTTGTCCTGCATCGCCCTCTGGTGGTTAAAAGTAGAAGTTCCAGCTGATTCTCAGCAGTGCAGGCTTCCCAGACCGGCCAGACCAGGGCACAAGGAAATTGTGTAGGTATTTCCAAATTCCTGGAAACTCTGGATTTAGCTTTCCATGTGGGTCTTTAAAAGACAGGAAGCACAGAACTCAGGAGGCAGAGGCAAGCGGATCTCTGTGAGTTCGAGGCCAGCCTGGTCTATATCGAATTTCAGACTAACTAGGGCTATATAGTGAGACATTCTCAAAAAAAACAAGAACTAAATTAAACAAAGAGTACAAATTGTTAGAAAAATACATTTGTAAGTTATCATTTATAGGTCATAGGTCTGTCCAGAAAAGCTCCCCATGGCCGTGAATAGGTGCTTCTGAGTATCAGGACTCTCCCTCTCCGTGGGCTCCAGCCTCACCTTTACAAACATGAAGTCTGCCTGCCTTTCTGCCCTTCCCTACTCTCTCCTCTCTCCTCCATGGGACATAGGCAACTTACCAGGAAGCTAAAAAGCAGAATTTTATGTCTGTCTGTATGAAAAATGAAGCTTCCGAATCAAGAATAGCAAAGCCATTTTAGGAGGTAAAGACTCCAGACAGACAGACCATATTTCTAAAGAGCCAGTGTTAACAAAGGAAACCTCGATGTTGAAGAGGAAAAGAAACACCTTGGTTTACAGGTGTGAGCAGGCACACTTTTTTTTTTTGAGACAAGGTCTCCCTATAGCCCCAGCTGGCCTCACTGCGTAGACCAAACTGGCATCCATCTCACAGAGATCTGCTTGCCTCTGCTTCCTGAGCTTTGAGATTAAAGGCACAATCTTTCTTAATGCTTAACTCTACAGAGGGTTTCTAGCTCATGTCAAGTAAATGATATCAAAAGGCACTTTAGATCAAGTCCTTAATGATCACTTTCAGAAACTTCAGCTGTTGTTTGCCAATGTCTGTTTCTTAAGCAACCTGTGCTAACAGGATGGCTATGACAAGACCTGGCTCTGCAGAGCATGGTTTGACCTTCAGAAACTAGGGGAGTTTGTTTCTACTGCTTATCTTTATTTTACAATAAAATACTGAGCAGGGCTGGAGATAACGGCTCCGTGGTTAAGAGCACGTGGTTAAGAGGACCCACGTTTGATTTTCAGTACCCACATGGCAGTTAACAACCGTCCATAACTCCAGTTAGGAATCCAACACCCTCTTCTGACCTCCTCAGGCATTGCATGACACGGATGCACTGACACACATGCACACACACTGACACACATGCACTGAGCAGATAGAAAAATGAATAGACTACATGACTTCCAAGAAATCCTTTGTTGATTTAGTCTTCATCAATCATGGTTTTGATGACTGACAGGCAGGCAAGTGGCAACATAAGTTTAACATTTTTGACATAGATACTGTGACTTGGATAGGACATGTTCTCCAAAAGGCACATGTGTTGAAGGCTTGGTCCCTAGCTATTGATGGATGACTGGATCATGAAAGGTACTAACTTCGTTAATGAATTAACTTATTGACAAGGCCATATCTGAATGGCCTATGAAGGTGTGGCATCTACTTGGTGGGTGTGCCTTTGAATGGCATACTTTACCCTCACAGCTCTCTCTCTCTCTCTCTCTCTCTCTCTCTCTCTCTCTCTCTCTTGGACAATCTGCTCACTAAACAGTCTCTGCCATGATGCTCTGCCCCATCATAGGCCCACACAATAGGCCCAGCGGAGCATGGACGCTGAAATCATGATGCCAAATAAATCCTTTGTTTGCAGCGCCATGTGTCCTAGCCATGAAGGAAGCCCATCGCTTTCCCAAATAGTGTAGGGCTCACACCATGAGTGGATGTTACTGTGCTTCACTAACCACAAGGCTCACCTGTGCAAAGGCCTCCAGGTGGGTTCAGAGAAGGCCACGCAAGAGCCAGATATTATTTTCAAGACTCATGGTTCGTACCCCCGTGATCATAAGCAGCATTATTCACAACAGCCAAAAGGGGGCGGCAAAGCCCTCTCCATCCCTGCTCCTGCATCATTTCTATTTGGGTGTCTCTGGTATTATCCTTCTATACCACACTGGTAAATATACAAAGATAGTAGCTTCAATGGTATTTTTATTTTAGGTACATTTTACCATCGTTTAATGAGAAATTTCCAGGACTGCCCAAATGTCAAAGAACCTTCCATAGCCTCAAAGTTCTTCAATGTAAAGTCTACTCAAGATGAGGGTGTGAAGAAACTTAACCCCTGTGTCATGGAAACCATAGAAAATACTCCCTTCAAATATCTGTGTCCCAGGGCTGGACGTGCTCTTAGTGGTTAAGAGCACTTACTGCTCTTGTAGAGGATTCAGTTCACAGCATCCACATGGCAGCTAACAACCACCCTTAACTACAGTTCCAGGGAATCCGACACCCTCTTCTGGCCTCCACAGGCATTGCAAACACATGATACACATATACATGCAGGCAAAACTCTGATACTCATAAAATAAAAATAAAATTAAAAAAATTTTAATCTGTGTCTTAACTTTCCATCACTGTGATAAAATGCCTGAAGCATACAGCTTACAAGGAGGAAAGTTTCTGGCCCACAGTGTCTGGGTATCAGTCCATGGTCACTTGGCCCAGTTGCCTTTGGGCCTGTGGTGAGGCAGAACATCACAGTGAAAGAACATGGTGGAGAAGCTTGCTTGCCCAATGTCATTTGGGAAGCAAAAAGAAAAACAGGAAGGGACAAGCTTCTCATATTTCTTCAAGGACACATACCCAGTGCCCTGACTTCTTTCCATAAGATCCTTCCTCCTAAAGTTCCTACCTCCTCCCCGTAGCACCACAGGTTAAGGACCAAGTCTTCAGCACGTTAGCCATTTGGGGAACATTTAAAATCCAAATCCTAAGACCCCGCTTAATTGATTCTTATAAATCTGGTGTAAAAGGCATATTCCTAGCTCCGTACCCCCAGAGAGTCAGATTGTATGGATCTAAAGGGAGATGCAGTGTCTGCATTTGACATTAGAATCCCAAGTGCTTGGATACAGGTGGGCATGCCTGGTGCTTTGGGCATCACAGAAAGGCAGTTTCCCAGCACAACTGAATGACTGGATTGAATACATAGGGTTATTGGACAGAAACCAATTGAATTAAGGAGGACAATCTGCCCCCAGATTATTCTGTCATAGAGGAGTTAGTATTCTTCATCTTTGAACAATGATTTGATAACAGCAACAGCACAGGGCTCTGCTAGTGGGTAACAATAAAATCTGATCAGCATCATATGACCAAGTGCTGGCCCCCTCTCCTTTTCCTCAATGTGCTCCTTTGAAATAGACACAAAGTAAACAGTGATTGGCTAGGCTCAACCTGCTTTCTTATACAATACAGAACCACCTGCCCAGGAGTGGCACCAACCACAGTGGGCTGGGCCCTCCCACATCACTCAGCAATCAAGAAAATGTCCCACAGACATGCCACAGGTCAATCCAATGCAAGAAATCCCCCAACTGAGGTTCCCTGTTCCCAGGCGTGGCCAGTTGGTGACTGAAGGTATCCAGCACAAGGGGAAAGGAAGGGAAGGGGGAATGAAGGGGAGAGGAAAGAGGGAAAGAAAGAAAAGTAGGAAAAAAAGAACGAAGGAAAAAGAAAAGAAAAAAAGTTTCTTTTGCTCAAAAGTGCTGACTCCTCGCTTGGGCCAATGAGATAACAGAGCAGAGCAAAAGTCTGACATAGCTGCCAGCACTTTACCTGCCTCAACTTTGTGTCAAACGCCTGCTGAACTCTGCACATAGGCATGTTAATTACTCTAGGAGTATTTATCTAAAACCCAGCCATACCTGCCCTATTTCAACCCCTGCAAGTCTGAAGGCGTAAGGGTGAGAGTCACACAGGTTCTTACCAACAGCCTTTATGATGTCCTGTTCCGGTACCCCAAATTGGAGTCTGCAAGTTTCCAGTCATTGTCCTAAGCCTGCATCACCCTTAGATTCCAGAACAGCAGAGCCTGACATAACACATCCCACCCCCATCCCCAAGCAGTAGCCATCATCAAATGGGAGCTGGTCTGTCCTCTCAAGCAGTCAAGACTTCTCCTGTTACTGTGCAGAGCCAGAGCTGGGATACTGATCAACCAGACGACAGTTTGACTTTGACCTTTACCCCCTTCCCCAGTTCTTTCTCTGCTTAAACCTAAAGCTTGGGGTTGAAGAGATGGCTCAGTGGTTAAAAGCATGGCTGTTCTTGCAGAGGTCCTGGTTTGGTTCCCAGCACCCATATGGTGGCTAAAAACCATCCTTAACTCCAGTTCCAGAGGATCCAATACCTTCTTATGGCCTCCATGGGCTTTGAATGTATGTGGTGCATTTGCACATGCAGGCAAACTCTCATACACATAATATAATAAATATAATGTTTATAATCAATAATATAAATGAATAAACCTAAAGCTCATGTCAGTGCCCCAAAGAGGGGCCCAAATGCTTACTTTCTGCTCTTTTAAGATGACACTGTTGATTGGAATCCTTTCTTGTCTTTTTACCATTATTTCTCGTTGTTTTCTTTGGGGCAAGTGGCCAGATCTGATATGTGGAAATCCTTGGAGTCAGGCTTCTGACCCAAGACTCCTATTATATTCCAACCTCCCCATTGTTCCTGTTATGGTAAAACTGTGCCTAGGGGCCCTATTACCACCAATGGTGTATCTTAGTCCTTTCTAATTGGTTCCACCATTCCTCAAAGTTAAAAGTGAGGAGGAACAATCAGAGGTTCTAAGATGCTGAGGGATTCTGTCCTAAGACAGGAAGCCCAAGGTATGGTAGCTCTTCAGCTCAGCTGGCAAGACAGAGCTGAAGCCTGGTCCACAAGGGTAGAACATCTGGGTGTATTGAGAGTGTGAGACTCAAAGTCTGGTTAACCTTTGATTCAGGGGGTTCTGTGTCCAAACTTTCCCTGTCCATTCCCCCACGCACAGATCACTCCTATAAGTGTCCTTGGGTATCCTTTTCTGCCATTTCTTCCGGACCCACCTTCTGTTATGCAGAGTTACACCCATGCCCTTCCTCCCTCTGGCTGCGATGGAAATGCAGAGAGAGGCCTGAGCATCAGAGCATCCAGCATGGGAACAGGGTGTGTTTGAATCCTTCTCCCCGTCCTCATGTGCAGAATGGCCAGAGCCTGTGCTCAAGACCCAGCTGGGCAGAGAGGAGGCACACAAGGTCCTGCAAATGTGTTCCCATTGGAAATTCAAGGCCCAGCTGGGTAGAAGGGTCACAGCAATGAATTGTTCCTGGGTTTAGTTAAAACTAGTTTCCAGACTTTAGGGGTGGGGTGGCTTGGCTGGAGATAGGAAGGCACAGTCCCCAGCCAGAGCTCCAATCAGAACAACTCATTTCTGAGGCTTCAGCTTTAAAGAACTGGTCTGAAATCACTGAGTGACTGAGTGAATGAATGTAGTCATACACACATATACATGTCTCTAAACATATGTTTGCACTTACATGTTTATGTACAAACATGTATAAAGGGCTTATTCAAGCATGACAGAATGATAACCCATAGTTGGAGGATGTTTCTGAAAAAAGGAAATATCTCTCTAAAAATAGGTTCTAGGGGCTAAAGAGATACCTTGGGGTAAATAAAATGTTTGCCACACATGAATGAGGACCTGAACTTGGAACTGGGCATAGCAGTAGGCATCTGAAACCCTGGTGCTAGGGGGTGGAGACAGGCAAATCTTCAGAGCTTGCTGACCAGCCACTGTAGCCAATCAGTGAGGTCCAGGTTCAGTGAGAGAGATTGAGGAAGACACCAATGTCAACCTCTGGTTTGCACAAGCAGATACACAACATGCACATGGACATATGGACACACCCACATAGACTACACACTAAATTAATTAATAAACAGGTGGTTTATAACACCTTTATTTCTTTATTGCACATCGATGTGTATGTGTGACTGTGGGCATACATGTGCCATTGTGTTCATGTGGAGGTCAAGGACAACTTTCAGGAGTCAGTTCTCACCTTCCACCTTAACGAGGCAGGGGCTCTCCTGTTGTTTCTGTGCCATGTACTCCAGACTAGCTGGTCTGTGAGCTTCCTGCAGCCTCCCCTATCCATCTCACTGTAGGAGTACTGGGATCACAGATGCACACCACCACATCTGGCTTTTTATTTGGGTGCAAGGGATCAGACTCAGGCTTTCAGGCTTGTACATCAAGCTCCTTTACCCACTAAGCCATCTCCCCAATCCTCTATATAAATATTTGATGGATTTATTAATAAATGAATGAATGAAAAGTGGATGGGGATCAGGGAAGTGAAGTGCACTGAGATGAGAGGAAGAAGCTCAGTGGATTCTAAGCATTTACCTAACTTCTAATACATAGGCTGCAGGAGACAAATTCCTATCATCCACATAGCTAACAGACTCTTGCTTCCTCCCCATCTTCCCTAACCCTTTAAATTTTTTTTTTTTTCCATCACAGATCTGCAAAGAGCCAACAGCCTCCAGTCTCCAACTCCAGGCAAACACGAGAACTGGAGAAGAAAATTCCAGTCAAGTGAGTCACAAGCCGGGGGGGGGGGACGCGGGGGGAGGCATGCACTGGCTCGTTCGGCTCTCACTCCTTACATGGTGTCTTCTCTGGTGTGGCCTCGGATATGAGCGCAAGAAAAAAAAAAAAAACATAAGCTTGATTTGATTTCCGCTGCATTTGCCAAGGGATTTGGGACTTTAGCACCCCACTCTGTGAAACCCCAGAGCCTTAAGATTCTATACTGTCACCAGAAAAGAGCCTTAGGGAGCACCAAACTTGAAATGAGCATAAGGAAAACCAGAGAGCCAGACGTTCTACGGGATTTGGTTCTATACCCAAGAGCCGGACAGGGCATCAGCCTTTTAAAGGCTCCGTGTCATCATGGGAAAAATAGTGAAAGCAGCAGCTCATGCACACAAATGTGAGCACACATGGAGACATGAGTGTGCACACACAGAGCCCGGTTTCAGCAAGCCTTGGCCCCTGGCTGAATTCCAGGGCTCCCACAGAGACCACAGTGTCCATGTACACACAGCCAGAATTCCCTCAGGATCCTGAGTAAGGGGCCGAGACTCCATCCTTTCCCGTCTGTTGCTTCCTTCTGCTTCCCCTGTAGCCGTGCTCCCTCTCCAGCCTCGCTCTGTCCACCGCTGACCCAGGAAGGCCTTGGGCTGGAGCCCTAACTCTCCCTCCTTCTGAGTCAGCCTGATTCCTTCAGTGAGTCATTTTCTACCAACCCCCAGACTCATCACCCCTCACTGTGCTTGACTGGGACAAGGGCCAGCTGTGGAGCTGAACCAGGCCTGCATACCTGGGCAGGCTGCTTCATCTGGGGATAATCTAAAATGACATATGAATCATCTAAGCACCCCCAGCAGTAAGAGAGGGCAGAGCCCTCTTCTCACTCCCCACCCAGCACCTCTTGAGCCACTGGGATCCTGCACTCAGGCCAGTCCTCCCAGGTGCTGAGTTCATCCCATCACTTCTGAGTGCCATCTGTGTGAGGGGCTCAGTCATGGCCTCAGGGAGCTCCCAACGTGAGCTGAGAGCTGGGAGACTGGGAAAGACCCTCACAACAGAATCCGAGACTCTGGAAGAGACAAGATTGAGAATGCTTCTACCCAGTGGCAAGGTTTGGGGATGGACCTGCGGACTTCAGTCTTAAGTTATCAAGGAAGGAATAAAGCATGCTAATTCTTTATTATTATTATTATTATTATCATCATCATCATTATTATTATTTTGGTCTTTTTGAGACAGGGTCTCCCTGTGGCCCCAGCTGGCCTAGAACTCTCTATGTAGACCAGGCTGGCCTTGAAATGACAGAGATCCACCTGCCTCTGCCTCCCAAGTACTGGGATCAAAGGCAGGCACCCCCATGCCAGGCTTGAAGGGTGCTGATTCTTTTTTTTAATTTTTATTTATTATTTTTATTTTATGTGTATGTGTGTATTGCCTGCATGTAGGTAAGTGCACCCGTGTCATGAAATGCCCACGGAGGTCAGAAAAGGCTGTTGGATCTCCTGGGACTGGAGTTACTGACAGTTGTTAGCTGCCATGTGGGTGCTGGGATTCAAACTGGGGTCTTCTGCAAGAACAACCAGTGTTCTTAACCTGTCATTTCTACGGACTTAGCATGATTTGGTTCAAAGGAGTTCTTGTTTGTAATAGGGAGAGAGGGAGGGAAAGAAGGAGGGAAGGAAGGGAGGGAGGGAGGAAACCTTTAGAGGCAGTGGAACAGAATATGGGCTCAGGTTGCCAGCTGATGCCCCTAGGGGGCGCTCCAAGACTTTGAGAGGAATTTGAGTCTTTTGTAGCCTCCCAACTCTAGGAAGCTGTGGTGCCCTGAAATCCCAGTCCTTGTGAAAATCCAAAAAGTCAAGAACCCCCAGAGCCGTTCTTTTAGTTTATCTTCGTTTTGCCCAACAACTCTAGGAAGCTGTGGTGCCCTGAAATCCCAGTCCTTGTGAAAATCCCAAAAGTCAAGAACCCCCAGAGCCGTTCTTTTAGTTTATCTTCGTTTTGCCCAAAAGAAGCACCCCTCCCTCACCCCTGTGAGGTTTGTCAGGTAATAGGATATTGAACAGGGCATCCTCCCCCAGATGAGCATGCTCAGAATGACCTCTAGCATCAGGGACAAGGCCACCATTGCCAACAAATCCAAGAGGAGGCAGCATAAGGAACTGACTCAGG